TAAGAAATAGGAAAAATAAATAAAAGAATATCTGGAAGTTTCCTTCCTTACACTAAAATCATATGTTTGATTTCAGACCTCCTTTGCCGGTTTTATTGCCGGCACACACTGGCCAGGGCCTACAAATTAGTGCCCAGCTGGTAAGAAGAGACGGGCAGATGTTCTACAGCATGTTATTTGAGAACAATTCTCAGATACCACTCGATGGGTTTATGATTCAGTTCAACAAGAACACCTTTGGTCTTGCTGCAGGTGCACCTCTTCAGGTAATTACGATGCCTATAATAATAATAATAGTAGTAATAATAATAATAATAATAATAAAAAAAAAACTGCTTTGTTTACACTTTCTCTTAGCTAATTAATATTTCATTTCTATCAGGTCCCCCAATTGCAATCTGGGACATCTGCAAGCACCCTTCTGCCTATGATTTTGTTCCAGAACGTATCTCCTGGCCCACCGAGCACGCTTCTGCAAGTTGCTGTGAAAAATAATCAGCAGCCTGTCTGGTATTTCAATGACAAAATTTCACTGCTTGCATTCTTTTCAGAAGATGGGAAAATGGAGCGATCCACATTCCTTGAGGTAAGTAGTTTACTGAATATTCCAGTTTTTTATNATATATATCTAACGGCAATAGTTTAATGTGGTCTGACCTGTCAGAGGAAATTGTAATTTTTCGGAAAGAGGTTGCTTATCTGACAAAAAATGTAGACTGTTATTTATCCTTTTGATGATCTATTATTTTGGCAAATTACATACTACGGGACCTGATGATTGATTTGTGCCTCTAAAATGTAAATTAACACAGACTTGGAAATCTCTCCCCGACTCGAATGAGGTCTCGAAGGATTTTCCGTCAATCTTGCTGAATAGCGTCGAGTCAACTTTGGACCTTCTGGCTACATCCAACATGTTCTTTATCGCCAAACGCAAGCACTCAAATCAAGACGTGTTGTACCTCTCGGCCAAGATCCCTCGAGGTATTCCTTTCTTAATCGAACTCACTGCAGCAATTGGTGTTCCGGGCCTCAAATGTGCTATAAAAACTCCAAGCCCGGAAATGGCTCCACTCTTCTTTGAAGGGATCGAGTCTCTTCTCAAAAGCTAGTGTTTTGTGTATTTTTTTTTTGCTGTGTTTGCTTTTCTTTTTTATTTTCCAAATCTTGGATCTGGGGTGGTCTTCCGTGGGTTTGTGTTCTTTTTATTTTTCTTTTTCTATTTAATATGCATAGGGTTTTTTTTTTACTTTTTTCGGTACGTAATTTTTTTGATTGAAACTACTTATCGTTGGGTATCTGTTGTATTTTCCCGTTAATTGAGAACCGCCATTACAGGTAGTAATGTATTTCAGACTTGCATACTCGATATTTATTAAGCTCTCTGGAAATGGAGTTTGCTTGTTACCCTGTGAAGTTTTTGTTAATGTATGTGACCATGGAGCAATGTGACCCTCCATTTATGGCATGAAAATGAAAGAAACTCTTTTAAACTCGATTGAGAAAGACCATGCAAATTTCAGTTGGCCTGTCACCTAATCCCCATTTCCTCCAAAATGTGTAAACCAAAAAATAACAGCCTGTATCTTATTATTTTCTCATCTGTTTCATCTCGTTGTTGATATACTAAGCACGGACAACAACAAACACAACAACAACATAGCCTTTAGTTCCAAGCAAAACGGGGTAGGCTAGAGATGAAACCCAAGAGAACCACTGGTAAGAGAAACACAAAAAAGGCTTGAAACAAAAGGAAGAGATTGGAGCAAAAGAGAAAGGAGCAAAAGTCACGGTTCTGGCACGTTAATTGCTAGCCTCCAAGTGCTCTTATCCACCGTTAAATCCTTGGAGATATTCCAATCTTTAAGGTCTCTCTTAAACGACTCTTTCTAAGTGAGTTTAGGCCGACATCTACCTTTCTTTACGTTCTCGAACCGCTGTAGAACTCCCCTACGCACCGGTGCATCAGGAGGTCTCCGTTGGACATGTCCGAACCACCTCAGCCGATGTTGAACTACATCTAAGCACGGACAATAATAGAAAAAACTACAACTATAATTGTCTTGATGGTTTACTTGTATCCATTTCTTGGATACACATTCCACTTTAGAAGTTCTAGAATTTCTGTTGTACCAATTAAAATGTAAAGGTTAAATGTACGTAATAGTTTATACATGCACATGGATTAAATAAATATTCAAATGAACTTTATGTGGCCCTAATGATTATTAACTGATAGTAGATAGCAGTAGCTAGTTGATAGCAAATTGTAATAGTTGATTTGACTAGAGAACATGTTAATGTGGTAAATGACACTTGGTATGGTCTATTGGAAATCTTATGCTTGTGCTATTATATAAATTCTCTCTACCAAAATACTCTCATATTGAGCTTTTTAGGATTGACATTTTGAAATAAAATAGCTGATCAAATAAGCACTTTACCAAATATTTTAGTTAGCTAATTTAACATTGATTCAGTAACACAAAGAAGTTTTATATATGTGAGAGTATGTACTGATTTATGCAAAAATTTATATCTATATAAATATAAAAAAAGTTTAGTATTTACCTGAAATAGAGTTAGAAATCTCACCTAAAATTTTTGGACTTATTAAACTAAGTATTTTTTTTTTAAAATCTCGCTCAAACATATTTTGAAAATTTTCAGTAAAAAATATAAATTCTAATATTATAAAAAAGCAGATTTATTTGGTATATCAAATGAAATCTTAAATGGACCAATCAAAATTTTTTTTGGCATATCAAATCAAATTTTTGGTATATCAAATCACATTTTAATGGACGTGGAAATGGAAAGTTAAATGGACCGAATCAAATCAGACTAAATCTTGTCATCTCTTCTAAAATGACTGGGGTGACAATCAAATGACCAATCAAAATCAAATTCAAACCAACAATTAGGGCATGTTTATTTATGGAAATTTTTCAAAAAAATTTCACATTTTAACTCAACCACTTTTTTTAACTCAACTTTAACTCAACCTCACTATCATTATTATTAATATAATTAAATAATATCAATCAATCATTCATACACACCACATCAACCTTAATCTATTCATCCACTCACATTATTTTAACTAACCATCACTTCAACTATCTCTCTCCTACTTTTACATCAAATCAATTTTAATTATTTTATTTTAAATATTATTTTAATATACCCACTAACAACTAATCATACAACTTTTTAAAAAAATTAATCAAACCAAAACCAAAAATCCAAATAAACTACAAATTTCCATAACAAACATGCTCTAAGAGTTCCACGGAGATGGGCACGGCAAAGCTCTATCGGGTCTTCTCCATGCTCGATGAACGATGACTGCAACATCAGTCGAGAGGAGCTCAGCGATTCGCTGGAGAATCTCGAGATGTGCGTGTCGGAAGAGAAGCTACGAGCGATGATCGGGAAGATTGAAGCCGACGGGGACGCCCAGGTGGACGCCGAGGAGTTCGGCGCCCTATATGCGGTGGTGACGGCAGATGGTGGAGGTGACAAGGGGGACGACGGTGAAGAGGACATGCAGAAGGCGTTTAGGATTTTCGATTGGGGCGAGGTAGGTTCATCACGGCTGATGAGCTGATTTCTTGACGGCGTCGTTGAGGCTGAAGGAGGTGAAGATGCCAGAGGAGTCAGAGTATGATCGTCGGGGTCAACTTTGGGGGCGACGGGAGGATCAACTTGGACGACAGATGATGAAGTGCGTCGGCTTCGTCAAAGTAAATTTGTTTTTTTTTTTTTTAAATATTTTTTTTGTTTTGATGTGCAAATTGCAATTGACAATTGGTTGTTGTATTTATGGATTTTGATTCTTGCCTCCATTTTTAATTGGGTTGAGAAATAATTTATGTTTTTGATCTGCAGACTGCTGCCGAAGGGCTTTTTGGAGAGGACTAAGGGCAAGGGTTACGTGATTAAGTCGTTGGCCTCACAGAGAGTGATGCTGGAACACGGGGCGGTGGCCGGATTGGTGACCCACTGCGGCCGGAGCTCCATCCTGGAGGCTGTGACGTGTGGGATGTTCGGATGTATCATTGTGTCCTAGGTAAAAATTCGTTCTTTCTCTTCATATGCCATAATTTTTACGCATTTGGACTGTCTTTTGTGTGTGTATCTGTGGTTCTTGTGGATATGGTGAACAAATAACTTTGATATCGCTCGTACAGGATGTAAATAAGGATGAGTTTAGGCATAAATTGGCTGACGAGTTTCGGCAGGCGACTCGATAGTTCATGGTGAAACTGGAGAATCCGTCATGGCCTCTATCATATTCAGGTCACCTTAATTCTGTTTTTGGTGTTAAGAATTCCTTTCTTCTTAGTTTTATGAAACCCTTTTTTAATATTTATTTATTTGCTTTGAAGTGGTTTTGAGGGAGTTGAGGATTAGCTTGCGATGTTATTAGAGCTTAATTAATGGAGTTCTTGAGAGTTCAATATTTACCAGTCAATCTTTTGTTTTGGTATCTCCAGATCCCTTTAATTTATAATTCAAGTTCACTTCAAACATTCATTTCGTTTGCAGTCAAGGTTTTAGTTGCTTCTTCTGTAAATTACAGTTTGAGACCTTTTAACTGGCATGGATTTGAAATACATGTATATCCGCCTTTGATCATGAATGTCATTCAAGTTTATCAATCCTTATTATCATGCATATCCAACTAATTTCTATCTTTTATATTATGTTCTTCCCCACCAGTTGGTCAATGAACTCTTGGTGGTGAATCTACAACCTGGAGAAGAAGACGTGAAAATAGTTGCTTCAAAAGGGTTACATGATGAGACAGATAATGGACGACTTCTATGAAAATGTTATAATGTTCGTCTTTGGCCTTTATCATGTCTTGCAGATGATGATGTAGACTCAGACTCGGTACAGCTCAAATGGCCTTAGGGTGGTAATTAGTAAATATGTATTTGATAATGTAAATAAATAAAATGTGATTTTATCAACTTTAGCCTCGTTTAGAATATCAACTTCGTGATTTTTTTGCACTTTGATGTGTGGAGAGCAGACAAAATCAGCTTGTTCCATTAATATCCTGGATTTGATTCTTCATAAAGATGAGGTGAATACATTAGGGTTTATAAGTGGAACATATTTTGCTATAAGATTTTCTGTTTCCAAGCCACACTCTACCTAACAACATTATTGATGCAACAACAAAGTTCTTATAAGTTAGTATTGGGTTTCAATTATCTTAATAAGATTAATGTTGATAGTTNTACTTTATAAATTATATAAATTGAAAAATAAATATTTTTTCAATAAGTACCATGAGTTGATTCATTTGATTATGTTACGTAACAATAGAATATGAATTTGTAAGGATGTTATCGAATTGATGTAAAATTAGCAGACTAAATCTTATTTGGAGCTGGTTTGACTCTGCAAATATGTTAATTAACTTGTTTGGTAAAAAACTTATTTTGATTATTTTTTTGGACTCAAAATACTAATTATGAAAAAATTCAATATATAAACATTCTATGCAGAGAAGATTTATAAGATTATACGACAACGTAATATTTTTAAACTAGCTACACATACTGCTACTTACTAAAATACTTATTTACAAATTGTTTATACATTTGGCTAGCTATTATAATCAACTATTAATTACTTGATCAAATCATAATTCCATTAAACTCATTATACATTTTGTGGTTTCAGTTTTGCAATGGATCGGAGTCAATAGTTGGCTCCATAGTGGAGTCAACTTCTTATACATAGCAAATAAAAAATAACATATTTTCTAATTAATAGAAAACACAATTAACAACTACTTAATATAAAAAATATATTAATTCTAGTTAACAACTACTTAATAAGAAAATACAATTAACAACTAATCAACCACAATCAAAATAAAAGCACTTATATTTTTAAATTTAAATTTGAAAAAAATAAATACTACGAAAAAGTTTGTACTATTTATTCAAATGATATAAACTACTTAATTGTACATATTATTATTAATTTTAATGTTTAACTAAAATGATTCAAAATTTTTTTAGATGATTTTAAATATATAAGATTAAAAATATTGTTATATTTCTTATCAAGTAGTTGTGGATTGTATTTTTTTATCTTATTATAAAATATGGTATTTTTTACTTGTTATGTATAGGAAGTTGGTTCCATTACATAATGCAACAGTTCATAGTAAAACTCGTAATTTATTTCAAGTAATAGTTTATTTAGTGTAAACTTGAAATTGGTTATAGACGGAAATTTTAATGGTGGTTGATTGCCCTCATGACATGCCAATAATGTGTGAATTTCTGTGTTGATTACTTACATTTTTTTTTTTTTTCTAATTCCATGCTACTATTTTTAGGGAGACTAAAGACTGTCTGCTGAGGAGAAACATTTTAATCATCCTTTTTCATTTCCAAATACATTGTTTTCTACCTACTAAGCCCAATTGCCACCACATAATTTAAAATGAAATAATAAATTTGAGTTCTTTTTATTCCTCCTTATAAAATTATCTCGTGATAGTAAGAAAATTATGGCACCAATCCTAATATAAGCCCATCTGAAATAATATCACAAGCCCATAAGTGAAAGTAAATTAGAGCCAGCCCATAGAATAAATTGGCCATACCCTAAAACAATAACTATTGACATAAATTATTTGTGAAATATAAAAAATGTGTTAATAAATGTGGAAAAAAAATGTTTTTTTAAGGAAATTTAATTGTGCCAAAAACCTCAGGTCCCCAGCTCTCTTTTTCATTCCACTTTTGGTCTTTGATGCCTGAACCGCCTTGAACACTCCCACTGCATATACGTACACTCCACCTTCACATCCTTACACATATTCACTCTCTACACTCAATCCCCAAAAAAATTGAAAGCAAAATTGAAAAGAAAATAAGAAACCATGTCTTCCCCAAGCAAGCGCCGGGAAATGGATTTGATGAAGCTGTAAAATATCAGACTTTTTTTTTGTTCTTTTATTTAAATTTTTGTTTTCATGCCTAATCTAAGTTCGTATATCTGAAATCGTTCTGCCCTTTTGTTTGTAACTCTTTTGGTGGGATGATTTATGGATTTTGATGGCTTTTCTGTGTTCATTAGGATGATGACCGACTACAAGGTGGAGACGATCAATGACAGCATGCAAGAGTTCCATGTGGAATTCCATGGACCCAAAGAAAGTAATTCATTTTTCTCGGAGCCCATTAATATTTTCTTGTTTCTTTCTGATTTTTCACCTCATTTAATGATCTGTTAGGTTCGAGCTTGGTCTGGGTTTCGGTCAATTCATGTTCCTTGTTCTTAAAAATTTCATCTTTATTTGTTCTGGTATCTGTGTATGTTTGGGTTGAAATTTCGACTCTGGTGATTTTGATGTATTTGTGATGTTGGAGTATTTTACTGGAATTGCACAGCTGGTAGATTGTTGATAAGTACAATCATGGGTTTTTGGACTTAATGTTTTGAGTTATTGAATTTTGGATAGCTAGCTTTTCAATGTTATTGAAACTGTGGGAGCAGCTGTTGGCTATTTTTACCTAATCAGTTCAAGTGAGCGAGTGTCTGAGGGTTTTCAGGTTCTTGTTAGGGATCACTAATGTGATTCTTCTATCAGTTTTGACGAATCTCTATCACCAATTGTTCGGCCTTTTTTTTTTAAATAATTTATATTTTTTTGTGCATTTATTGCAAAATATGTGGAATTTCTTTTATTATATTCGATGATCTCTAACAGGTCCTTACCAGGGAGGTGTTTGGAAGGTAAGGGTAGAACTCCCGGATGCCTATCCATATAAATCTCCATCCATTGGTTTTGTAAATAAAATCTACCATCCAAATGTTGATGAAATGTGAGTTTGCCCGATGCATTATGCTAAAAATGTTTATCTGTTCCCCAGTTAGTGGTAGTTTTAAAAATTTCATGTTTATTGCATTTCCAGGTCAGGATCTGTCTGCTTAGATGTTATCAATCAGACGTGGAGTCCCATGTTTGGTGAGTTGAAAAAATTATCCATTTTTCGGATATTGGCCCTTTTGAACATTGAGTATGATATTCTTATGAGCTCAAACTATTTATTTGTTTCTATCCTCAGACCTAGTAAACGTTTTTGAAGTGTTTCTTCCGCAACTTCTTTTGTACCCAAATGCATCTGATCCTCTGAATGGAGAGGCTGCAGCTTTAATGATGCGTGACCGCACTGCATATGAGCAAAAAGTCAAAGGTATAAAATCTTGTTTTTGAGTTTAAAACTCTAACTGTTGCTTTTGAGCTTGTTGATATGTGATTCAAATTTCTACAAATGATACACACCTAGCAGTGCTACTTTTCTGAATATTGCATAGGTTATATAATAATGGTGAACTCGTACATGCATTTCGAGGTATTTCTGAAAACATTCAACTGTTTTCTCCTCCTCCTTGCGATTATGTTAGAGATAGGCATACGATACTTTTGTACTTAACAAATTGAGTTAACATCTCTCTCAAGTTTTCCTCATAAGGGATTAGTGGAGTTTTTTTTTTTTGTTTCATCTTCTTACAACCTAGAAGTCTAGAACTAGAGCTATTTCTGAAAAATCACAGATCCTATGAGTCTATTCCCCTCTCCAAACTCATTATGTAGTAGTTTTGATAGTGCTTAATTTGATGTCCTTTCAAATTGGGAAACCATGATGTCATGATCCTTCATTTGACTAATCATTAGCTTCTTCATAGATTTGGATAACAACTTTCTGTTTCATGTGGCACCTAGTGAAAATTGATAGTGTGAATATTTAACCTAAAATGAGGACTATAAACCAAAAGAGATGGAATACTATGTAAAATGATATTCACTAGGATCACAGAAAGAG